AAAAAAAAATGAAGAAAGAAAATTATATTTTGATACAGTATGCTAATATAAAGGATATGATGTGGTTTGACTCTGTGTTCCCATCCAGATCTCACCTTGAATTGCAATAATCCCCACAGGTCAAGGGTGGGACCAGGTGGAGATAATTGAATCACGGGGGCGGTTTCTCCCATGCTGTTCTTGTGATAGTGAGTGAGTTCTCATGAAATTTGATGGTTTTATAACAGGCTTTGCTCAGCTCTCCTCTCTCCTGCTGCCCTGTGAAGAGGTGTCTTCTGCCATAATTGTAAGTTTCCTGAGGCCTCCCCGTCCACGCAGAACTTGAGTCAACTTAAACATCTTTTCATTATAAATTACCCAGTTTTGGGTATTTCTTCATAGCAGCGTGAGAATGGACTACTACAGTGTACTAATAACAGCCCAGACAGTAGTATACAGGTGCTACTATACTTTCATGCTAGAGGTATTCCCATTAAGGTCAGGAGCAGTATGTGCTATCATTACCATGATCCAACATTGTTCCAGAGGTTTTTAGGTCAGCAGTTCTCAACTGGAGGTGATTTTGCCTCCCTGGGGATATTTGACAATATCTGAAATCATTTTGGCTGTCACACTGAGGAGTGCTACTGGCATGTGGCAGGCGGAGTCTGGGGATGTTGATAAACATCCTGTGAGGCACAAACAGCTCCAAAGAAAGAATTATCCAGCCCAAAACGTCAATAGTGCTGCTGCTGAGAAACCCTAGTCTAGACAAATAAAACATGGGAAATCCGTTAACATAAATGTGGGAAAATAATAAACTAGTATTTGCCAATGACAGTCTAGCTAGGAGGTCCAAAAGAAGCACCTGAAGAACAGTTAGATTTTGCAGGAGTTGCATGGTGGCTCATGCCTGTAACCGCAGGGCATTGTGAGGTCACATTGGGAGGCTCTCTTGAGGCCAGGAATTCAAGACCAGCCTGGGCAACATAGTGAGACTGCACCTCTACCAAAAATTAAAACATCAGCCAGATGTGGTGGTGTGCTCTGAGAGTCCCAGCTGCTGAGGTGGGAGTATCGCTTGAGCCCGGGAGCTGGAGGCTACGGTGAGTTGTGATCATGCCACTGTACTCAAAAAAAATTTTTTGAGACAGGATTTTTCTGTTACATATGGGGTCTTGCTATGTTGCTCAGGCTGGTCTCGAACTCCTGGCCTCAAGGAGTCTTCTTGCCTCAGCCTCTGAAAGCGTTGAGATTATAGGTGTGAGCTACTCCCCCTGGCCTTAAAAAATAAAAAGAAAAAAATAAATTACATTGTGTTATGTGGCCAGTTGAAAGATGTTGGAAAACAGTTGTGCTTGTGACCCCGCTGTAATCAGTTATAAAAGTATCCAGATTAAGAAATGTACTGGGTCTGGCTTTCCCAAGTTTAGGTTCCTGCTAAAAGAATGAGATGGATTTTTTCTTCCTCCGCTCCTCACCTTCCTGCAAGAACCAGGATTGTGCATTTTGACGGCCAGGCTTTTACCTCTGGCAGGCCACGGAGGCATGCAGAGCCTTTCTGCTTGTGTTTTGGGGCACGCGGATAAAGACCCCCTGTCCAGGCCTTTGGTTAGGATATTTGGCCCATGGAGGAATGAGGCTGGAATCACCTGGGAGGGATAGAGACTTTGACTGGAAGGAGGAGTGACCTGAACTCCAGATTCTGGGCCTACACTTTTTTCCCATGCAGTACCCTGTTAGTGGTGATTGGGGCCTAGAAGTCAGGGACTTTGGTGACCAAGTGTTGGGGGGACAGGAGGAGCTAAGGGAGGCGAGGGGCATTGCTCCCATACTGCCCCCTGCCCGGTCCCCAAATCAATGCCCTCTGTCAGCTCAGACACAGCCCCGGCCAGCAGCAGTGCAGGTCAGGAAGGGCGAATGCACTCAGCACAGATCTGCTCCACAGTCTCCGCCTCACTTCATCTCGGGTTGTGGGGAGTGAGTCCCCGCAGCACTGATGATATGCTGTCAGCTGAGAACATTCAGCTTGATTTAGAAAGATAAGGTAGGACATCTCTTGGGCATGGCGTGTGGAGCAGTGCCATCCCTCTGTGGCAGCGAGCCAAGCAGTAAACCAGAATGTGCAAAACCTGCATCCCAGAATCACTGTTCCCGGAGGGAAAGCCTATATTGTCAAGATGCCCACAATGTAATTAGCCCAAACATTCCACCCAGCCTTGAAAACCAGTAGAACTTTGACATTAATATACTAACGCTCAGGTCTTTACAGAAATGTGTAAGAATAGCCACATACTGTAACATGCCCATCAGAACAAATGGAACCAAGTCCAGAAACGTGTCTGTCTGGGCGCAAGATGCCAGCATGTGTGTCAGCCAGGGAAGCAGACCAGGAGCAGATATTTATTAAGGTTTAAAATGGGCTCCGTAGCTCAGGCCTATAATTCCTGCACTTTGGGAAGCTGAGGTGGAGGATCACTTGACAGGAGTTTGAAGCAGCAGTAAGCCATGATAATGCCACTGCATTCCAGCCTAGATGACAGAGCAAGACCCTGTCTCAAAAAAAAAAAAAAAAAAAGTCCTCAGATGCGCCCTTACCTGAAGCCACCTTTGGCACAGCTTCCAAGACTGGCAAGGCCTCACTCAGGACCAGGGGGCCCAGCCATAGCTCAGTTTCCACCACCTGAGCGGCACCTGGAGGAGGTGGCCACAGTGTCCTCAGTCCAGGCTCTGTCGGGTCTCAGATCCCCCAATCATCATGCCTTTTCTGCCCAAGCTCTGCCTCATGATGGCCTCCACTGACCACAGCCTCTTCCACCCCCCCAAAGGGACCCCTGCTCATGCTCCCCAGCCCGCAGGAGCACCTGCGTCTCCAGGAAGCCCACCCTGCTGGCTCTGGGCTCTATGTAGGAGAGCTGGGCAGGCTGGATCCCACCACTGAGTTCAGTCTCGGGGGTCTCCACCCACGCTAGGCTTCCACTGATGGGACATAAGTGGCCTGAGGGTCCTTTACATCCACACAAGAGCCCCATGGTGACCAGGAGTGGGGTTCTGAGAGGTTAAATGACTTGCCCAGGGTCCCAGAGCTGGCTAGAATTCCTGCACTGCCACATCCAAGGCCATGTTTGGGCCTCCCACTCGGGGGCCCGGACACCCGTCTGCATCTACCAGGCTGGGGAAACACATGTCTGCCGTAGTTTCCTCCCAGTGACTTACAGCAGCTGCAGATCTTTGGGGGGCCTTCTATGGGTCCCACTGCAGCAGGGAGCCGAGAACTCTTACAGAGCCCTGTGTTCTCTCTCTGCCCCCTTCAGCTCCGAACTCGTGTACTAGCTGCTCTGATGTAAGAACAGGCCTTGGTGAGGGTGT